GTGCCGCTGCTTTCCTGCACAGCAGCCTCGCCGGCGGGCAGTACGGCTTTCCCACACCCAACAGACGGCCCCAGCCCCGAGGAATAGTTCTTATTTAAGCACCTTTCTGAGCAGCGCCATAAGCAGCCTGTAAATAGTCCCATCCACAGACCCTGGGGTGTCAAGGGCCGGAATGATTCCTGTGATCCAATAAGCAAAATAATGAACAAAAGACTGACCCGTTCATGAGCAGCTCACATGAGGCCCTTGGCCAAACATGCAAAAATAAATATTTAATTACTCAGAAGGCCAAGAAGCTGCTTGTGGGATTTTTAAAAGCACCTAATGCCTACCTCTTCAGCTGCTACTTTTTAGAAATAATTATTTTCATTTTTCTATGCCGTTTTCTCATTTCTGGACTTCTTCCTGTAAATAATGACCAAAGTCTTTTTATTTCTGGTATTTTTTTTCTCTTAAGTGAGTCAAGTAAGTTGCTTGATACAGTATCTTAGAGTAGAAAGCCAATAGTCAATACACTGCACCACATCTTTTTTTGTTTGTTTTTTTCTTTTGTGCCCACCTGTCTTGTTTGGGACTGGATCCAAAATCCCAGTGTGCCACAGCTGGTCACTCCCAAAATATTGCAAGTCTTTTAAATGAACAGGGTTAGGACTTTGGGAAGGGGTCAGGGAAACTTTTCCATCCTTGAAGACAGTGACTCACCTTCCCAAGATGAGCCTGAGATGAACGGTGCTGAAAACACTTCTCTCCTGGCAAACCTGAGCCCCGCAGGCTTTACTGACAGTGACTTAACAATACCCCAAAGTCTTTGCCAGCCAGTTATGTTGTTTAGTCTTGGATTGTGACATGTAGTTCAGAATCATGTGCTTTACCTAAAAGCTTTTTTAACTAGTAACTCATGAGCTGCGCTAATTTGAAAGCGGATCCAGTTGAATCACATTCACGTGGGCATGCTCATTCCACACTAAAGTGGATGTCTTTCACTTATGTAGCAAACTATGACACAGAAACTGAAGAACACTCAATTTAGGCAGAACTGTCCACAGAAGATTTAGTCAAACTTTAGTGGAAAGTATTTTACAAATGTAGATGCACTTCCCTGGGTATCCTCATATAGACAAAGCTCCCATGTGGAGGACCAACTTTTGCTTTTGGTTGTTTGGGGTTTTTTTCAGCTGTTCTACGGACTAGAAAAACTTGAGTGCATCTTTCAGACATGTATTACAGTAGAGCTGCTGAGCCAGACAACTGGAATCGATTTTTCATATCTTTTTCATCTACCATAGCTATTGCATGTAACTTCTCTTCTTTAATAACTGAGTTCTCTTTGCAGTCACTTTGTCACCTCCCATTAAAGCCAATTCCAGCATCTCCAGCTTTGCAGAAGAAAGAGCCCCAAGTATTCTTCCAAATACTTTCTGTGCTTAACAGAGATCCTTCAAGCAAATCTGTCTTCTCTCCTTCACGTAAACATCAGTTCCCTCCTGATCCTTCACAAGGATGGAAGTTCATACATTTTCATTTACCATGCGTTCTGGCACCTCAGTGTTTAAGAGGATCATAGGTTCTTCATTTCTGCTCTCCTCTAACTCCACCTCTTTTGCTTCACACACACAAACCAGTCATTTTGAGGTACGTTTTCCAGCCTTCTGATGAGAGCTTGGTTGTCTGCCATGCCCCTTATCATGAAAAACCCAAACATCTTCCCCTGTTATGGTGTTTTTCACTTTTCCAGTACCAAGATTTGCAGCGAGCCCTGCTCTCTCCCCATCAACTCTTGTAATGATGATGAGTTTTCTGTACTCCACTTGCCATCCCAGTATGCCTTCTGCAAGGTCTCATGCTCCCCCTGCCACCACCATGCCCAGAATGTCTAATGTCTGCTCTCTAGGCTCACTGTAAAGAGTTCAGCTACAGGAATGCAGAGTACTGAACAATGGTTGTATCAGGTATGGGTAATGAATTGCATTTCTGCAAAGAGAAAAATCAGAGCCACTTAATAAAGAGAATAACTTTTAATAGGAAGTTAATTTTTTTTTTCTTGACACACTGTGGTACTTTCTGAACAAATTTTGCGCAAACATATATATATTTCACAATCTTTCTCTGTTTTTTTTCTACTGTCCTTTCAGTACAATGCAACATGCTACAAAATACTTTTTTTTTTTAATCAACATGAAAATCAACAATGATTGCTTTTTTCTTAGGAAACTTCAGCAATCAGGAATCTCAACAGTTGCAGATGCCAACTAGCATATTTTAGATGGCCTGATCTTTCCAAAGTAGGCAACCAAGACTCCTCTGCTCCTGAGCAACCCAAGTGATCCAGAAATACCTGAATGAACCACATAAGTTCAGCTGCAGCATGGAGTACACTTGTTGGTTTCCCACCCATTACAGAGCTTCATCAAAAATTTCTCTTGGTCCCACTTAGACAGAGGATTATTAGACCCATCAAAGTGGAAATAAGAGAAACAGTCAAACACAGGGAAATGAAAACTTTTCAGCTTTGTGTATAAACATGAACTAACAAATCTGCTCAATCTCTTACCGTACTGCTAGGTAAGTTTTATTATTTCAGAGAGGTAAATTAGAGAGAGAAGTTCCTCAAAAGCATTGTATCAACAGGTATCAAAACTTAGACCATCGTCCTGGCTCTTGGCCCTGCACTTACACCACCAGTTGTCTTCTTTCCATTTGCCAATAAAACAATGGAGGTTCTTGGCACGCTACCAGAGTCAGTGGATTGAGACTGAGCAGATGCTGACATTAATATAATTTTCAACCATTTATAGTTCTAGAAAAGTAGGATACATGCAGGTAGAAGCACTACTTGATATTTTTGAATTGCCAGCTCTGTACAAATTGAGAGAGTCTGTAATTAGCACTTGAAACACACTTTAAACTTCCAGAGTTATTCAATAGCCCACAGGAATCCCATGCGTTACTCAGAACAGAGGGAAGAAGGTTCATCTGTAAAATTGCTTATCTTGCTGATTCCCTCTGTGTGCCCCAGGCTATATAGGAGACGTATTTATAGCACACATAATGTAATTAGCCAAGGAACAGGTGAAAATAAACTATGTTGCCTGCTACATTAGAAGGATCATATTCAGTAATTTACAGAACTTCAAAGAGCCTCAGTGCAAGGTATATTCCCCCCTTCACAGAAAAAAAGCACACACTTCAGCATTTTGCCCAGGCATCCCGTCCTGTAAACATTTATGACAAGCCAAGTGTGTGCTACAGTGAGGAGTCTCATGGAAATCACTGAATTAATTTTCATAGTGGCGGTTTGCCCAGTACTGTTTCAAGGGTCAGGCCCTGTTTGTATTTTGCTACATGCAATTAAAAGAACCCTATCTACAATAAGTTCAACAAAGTATGCTAGCATATTCCTTCCTGTATGTGCAGAAAACATTTTTAGTAACTACTATGCAAACATCACCTGATTTTTACATTCTCTTCAACCTTCTTGAAATTTTTCCTGCTTTTACTATATGTGAAAATAATAAATACATATGATATACCAGTTATTAAGCCATCAAAAAATTACGTGTCAATCCAGAAGGGACAGGAGACACTTGAGATTTAGAAGAGCTGGGCATTAACACAAGTGTCCTGCCTGGTAAAAAGCTGTTCCACATTTCCTGTGCAACTGCAACTTTGGTGGGATGTTCCTGCATATTGTGATAAAACAGGCTGCTCCACATCTGAAACGACAACAGTATCTCAAGATTATTATTCCAGGTAAGGTTGTTCAGGAACATCAGAGTAAACTGAAATGGATGACAGACTAAATCCAGTATGGGATAGACAATAAGGTGCAAATCCATTGTCCAGGACATTGTCCTGCATCTACACAAACAGAACCACCCCTGGGATTTCAGTAATGTAGGCAAAATGCGTCCTGCTGCTCTAATTCAAGCGACAAAGATGGTTATTTTGTCCTCGCTGTTGGCATCAGGAAAGTTCAATTTGTGCATCCTGGGAGAAACGAGAATAGGCCAAAACCACCAAAGATGTTTTGTAAAAGGGTCTCTCCATATTTCTGGTCAACCTCTCTCAGTGGAGGGTGATGGGACTCACTCTAGAGGGACATCATCCTACAGTTATGTTGGAAGGCTGGACTTTGTCTGGGCCCAACAGAGCTGCCTCTGTCCAGTCCATCCCACATGTGCTGTGACGCATAGTTCCTCAGGCCTTCTCCTCTACCTCCCTGCACTACCCTTGTCACAGAGGGCCCTTCCCACAGCCTACCCCTTTCCTGCAGCTGTTTCCTTCTGCCACCTCAGCAAAGGACCCCATTTCTCCACAAATGAGAGAAGCAACTCCATGGGAAGTGGAGATTGTGGTGCCTGAGAAAGTTTCGTACATGAAGGAAAATGCAGTGCCCACATCACAGTGGGTTTCAGAGGTGCTCTGACGGTCTCTGCACTCGCACTCATAAAAATACTGTCCAACACCTGCCAGTTTTGCATGTTATTGGCTAAGGATTTCAAGCTATAATAAACCACCTCAATGAAAGCACTTGCTTTTGCACAATGTGGAATGGACGCAGATTTTTCGTGAAACCAAAGGAGCTGAACACTTCTGGGTACAAAGTTCCTTTTTTTTTCTTTTTTTTTAATACGTAACTGCCTTTAAAAATCTCTTTTTTTCTCACGCAAACAAAAAGAAAACACACCTAAGGAATTACAACCAGGAAATGCCGAAGAGTTAAAGCCAAACGCTATGCCTATAAAGGTCTACCTCTGCGAGGTGGCAGCTTCTTCAGTCCCTTGGTTTGCCTGGGGCTCTGTGACAGTGTGCGCAAGCTGAGCTTTGTTTAAACCACTGCTCCTTGAGGCTGCTGCCAACTGAAGTCATTGCTCTTTCTGGTTTGTGTTTTTAACCCTTTTGTTTAGTTACATGGCACAATACTGAAACTAACAAGTATAACCAAGACTAACAAACACTAGTGTTACAGGACCTATGATAAAAGCAATAAACTTACATATTTATTGCTGAGGTGTGAAGAGCTGCCGAGTTTTGTTCTTCCCCTGAGATGAGTGCTCTCCTAAGAAAGAGAAAATATATTTGCATCAGTTAAACACGCAAAGACAAAAGGACAAATGAATCTAGGGGGAACACTTCACCGACCACCGTACAAACTAGCCAGTCTCCTTGTCAGACTTACTTAACCAGCAAAAACTGTCCACACGATAGATTTTTACTACTTTCTTTGTGTTATAGCTTATTTCCCCTACGATTTGCTCTCAAATGATGGGTTACTACCACAAAGTATTTCCAAAGCAGTTCTCCAGGGGTTAGAAAAGGCATAAGACTTTAATTAATTTTTAACTATGATTAGAACATTAAATTATAAAAAGAAGATACAACTATAAAATTAATTTTTTGCTGATATCGCTGACAGCAGCTCAGTTCCTCCAGAGCAGGAAAATGAACATTTAACAACTTCAGTCAGGGATTACAGACAGTTCTCACTCCTCCTTCCCTGGAGAAGCGGAGCCGCTGCCAGCAATTACAGGCAGACAAATAAGCCTCCAGATGAGGACATGTTTACAGTTGTCCTATTTCCAAACGCGTGTTCCAGGAATGGCAGTGGGATTTCTTTGTGTCAGACATACATGCAGATGAACAGGGAATGGCATCCCCAGACTGGGCAGAGCCCCATGGAAACAGGGACAAGGGTGGGAAAACCCAAATGCCTCAGGGAACTGTCTTCTGTCTCTCTGCTCACCTGCAGGAGACAATTTAATGCCTGACACATACACAAGAGGCAAGAAAGTGATGTGCTACATTCCAGCAAAAGTGAATATCTATTAAAAAGCTTGCATATGATCTATAGCCGGGGGTTGAAAATGGTAATACAAATTAGGATTATAACAAATTCACTGATTAGGCATTTAAATAATTAGTAGTCAAATTGAATAGTTGCACTCCTGAAGAAAATAGAAAAGGTTTGTCTATGCTTTTCAGACAGCTTTTCTTGGCAGCAAAAAGGGGCCTTCTGGAGATAAGCAGAAAACTTGGTATCCAATGGGGTTCAATCAGAAACACTGAAAACTGTTCAACAATAGTGTGCTGGAACAGCGTTCGCTTCCCAAGTATTCATTTCTGGATAAAATTATTTTAAAAACATTATAAGGTGCTGTTATGTTAGAGCTTCAGAAGTCCTGATGATATTAAATTTCAGCTAAAAAGGCCTTCAGCAACTACTTCAATAATTCATAATATAATTTTTTAGAGACAAGGAAAGCACAAGTTTCTGGTTGAAAAAAATGAAATATTTCAACAAGAATTATACTTTTTTGGTAGGGGAAAATTTTTTGTTAAGTAAAAAACTGGTTTTGAAAAGCTAAAATAAAGTGAATCAGTTCAAATATAGTTTTGTACTAACAAAGGAATGAGTTTTTCAAGAACTCCCATTTATTTTTAAATTTATTTTTATTTATTTCTTCCTTTATTATTTCTTCCTTCTGCATGTTTTTAGTTTCCTTGTTCAACATAGAGAAATAGAAGATTTAATAGGGCACGAAAGGGAGAAATTGGCAGAGACTGTTTAAAAAAGAAGATGTAGGAGAAATTCATTGAGAAATATATTACCATAGAGAAGATAATATTCAATAGTTGTAATAAACATCAATACTTTGTTGTCAGTTCCACTCTCAGCTGGCTGCTGTGCCTATGCTAGAAATTAGGCAGACTTACACGGAAGACTGGTACTTTGCATGACAGGAAAACAACATGTCTAAGGAGAGGCTCCAGAGCCAGCGTCGCTCCCTGGGTAATGTCCCATTGGTGACAACAGGTTTTGGATCAGAGCATGAAATGCATGAGGCAGCGCTGGCTGCAGGAGACCTGGATAGTGGTGGTCAGGACAGGAGTGGTGAATTTGCCGTACTGCAGACCTTGAGACCACAGAACATGGCCTATATAGATTTTCTGGTGCAATGCACACAATTCCTGGAAATAGCGACTTGCCACAAACGATTGCTGGGGTCAACGCCCCCTATAATATCAGGAATTATCCGCTAAGCGTTCAGTGCAGGCAGGGAAGTGGCTCTGCATTGCTTTGCCACTGCACTCTCAAGAGGGCAGGAGCCTGCAAGAATTCTGAAACAAAACCAAGTTATCGCTAGTCCGTGGTTGCAAATGTGTCTGAAGATATTTGCATTACAGGTTCTATAATCAGTAGAGCCAACTAGCAATTCAGAGAATGACTATAAACTGGAGAAGAAATGGTCACACAGATGCTTTCTGGTAAGAGAAACAAGGGTAACACACAGTTTTAGATACAGGGCTGCAGTACACCTTAAGACTGTGCAGAGAGGTGTCTAGAACAATTTTGGAGTCTAATGGCCCAGCAGTTTGATGTTGCACTAAATATCCAGCTGCAACACAAAGAACAAATTACGAAGAACATTCAGGTTAGTTGCAAGTGGGAAGACAGTCTTATTGATCTTAAAATAGCCTTAACAGACATAAATAAATTCCGAAACTGCAAAAAAACCAAACATGCCCCAAAACAATCACCCACTAAAAACAAGATCTTGCTTCCTATAAGGGTAGTGAAAAATAAATACTTGTGTTGAGTATTTTGTTAGAACAGATGATATTTTAATTGACTGAAGGAATTGCTTCACACCAAACTGTTTGCCAGTGGAGAAAACAGGCAGTGCAGTGGCGGTGCTCAACCAGTCTAGATGCATTACCTACATGGTTTGAAGGCTGTTGTTGAGCGAGAAGGGCATAGTTAATACAAACACGAGCAAAATTGCTGGACAACATCATCAGTGAAAATTTGACTTTTGTTGATTGTGGGTTATCGATTTAGGGGAGGGTGACACACTTAAACTCCAGAGTTGCACACTAGGAGATGGAAGGTATCAAGAGAGACTTGAACCATCAGCTTCTCACAACATAGTTATGCAGCATCTTGCATAAAGGTAACCTAGTATTGGTTGATCCCACTTGATAGGTACTATGGCAATAATTTTCTGATAATGGGTTGAAAGTTCATTGCTTCATAAGCAAATGAGAGAATTGCAGAAAGTGGAGATGAAGGGAACTGGAAGAAAGTATTTGGTGCAGTTAACAAAGCTGCTAACTGCACCGCTGCAAGTGCAACGTGACCCCCTTTACCTGCGGTCCTGCCTTGTGACACCTCTCCTGATGGAGGAGGAGTTGTGGGCTCATATAGATTGGCAGAGGGCAGCGAGAAGCCAACCTCATATATATCACGCACTTCTACAAAAACTGAAAGAAATGATGCACAGTTTGAGAAAGACACCTTAGGCAGAATATTTGGAAAATGAAATTTGTTGATTTGTTTGTTGATTTTTGTCTGAAATTGGATTGTAAACACAAGGACATAGGCACCATGAAGTCTCTAAACATTACTGTCATATAATACAGACAGGTCTGTAGTTAAATTGTCTAACTTACTGCCAAAGGAGGCTGCGGATGCCACAGGGGATGAGACAAATTAATGGAAGTAAAAGCCTCCCAGAACTATGAAACACCAAAGATACCACCTCTGATTCAGGACATCTCCAAACCACAGACTGCTGGAAGGGTACAGTGGAGGACGTATTAGTGAACTCCTACCCTATGCATTATCCTTCCCTTCACATCTCATGCTAGCTACCACCATTGACAGGATTTGGGGCTACATAGATCCAGGATCTGAGCAGGTACAGCTGGCTCAGCACACAGCTTCTTAGCTTCAACATTAAAAGAGAAGATAATCTAGAAACTGCTGTAATAAAGCACCGGTCTTTCATACACACAACCTCCCACATGGCACCCCTCAAACATTTCTTCTGGAATCCCTATCATCGATTCACCCCAGTAAATTGGCAGTGTGGGCACTGGGCCCCATCCAATACACACTGCACACATCTTTCTCTAAAACCCAGTCACGCTTAAAAAGGATGAGGATAAGGAAGATATCATAGGAAAAAATTTGTATTCATAGCTCCTGATCCTTCAACGTATTTTTTTTAAGTCCGTGGGAAGTAGACTGAGTACACAGGTATTGAGGACTCTGCAAAGTTAAATGTTTAACCAGGAAAGTAATAGTACTTCAATGAAAATGCAAGGTTTTCTTCCTAATTAAAATTTCACTTGTGCAGTATTTGATTTGATTTTTCACTCTCACAAATATACTCATTTCTGACTATTAATGTTGCATCCTGATGCCAGTATATGGGAATAAGTAACGTACACAGAATCAGCTGAAATTACGGACTGTATAAAATGAAGTTTGAAACTCTGAAGTAAACGTTTCTTTGTCTCACCTTTGTGGAAGGCTATTGTATTGATATCACTGAATCTGAATACATTATTCATAATACACATATACTGCAGAATGCGATGATATAAAAGAGAGTTAACAGGTCATATCTCTAAGAGTACAGAAAGTGTTTGACCTGGGAAAAGCCCTCTGACATTATTGGGAAAGTTAGAAGAAAAAAGATATAAAAAATATTCTTTGACATAAGAAATTGCTTGTACTGCACCTCAGATTACATTGCCTGTAGAAAAAAATGAATTGCGCTGTTATTTCACTGTAATATCTGCTGCTGAGAAATTGCTTGTAAGTGGCAAACCAGTCTGGAGCAAAAAAATTAAAGCAAGTTTTTCACAAAATATGATTGCAGAAACCTATTTTTTTGATAAAAGTATAAAACTACCTCTGCAGACACAGGAATATAAATGTCTATCTTTACCATACTGAACTAAAAGCAAGAGGGGTGCATGACAGATGCTGGAGAACAGCACTGAGTGGGACCCAGTGCCTGGAAGCACTGGCTGGGTGTGGTGTGGGCCAGTGGGTCCAGCACCTGTGATGTGCTGCAACACTTCACCATGCACTTCACCCTTGCAAACAGTTCCTCGCCACCATCAGCAAGCCAGGAGGTTCTGTACAATTCACCACAGCAGCGACAGAGCCTATGGAAACGTTCAGGTGAAGGATAGGAAAGCAATTGCTGCTGAACGGCCGGCAAAGGGTGGGGAGGTGGCTCCCCAAACAGAGGAACATCTCAGAAA